GAATCGAGCAGGAGGTAGAGAGAGAGAGAGAGAAACAAAGAGAGAGACAGAGAGAGATATATATAGAGAGCGGTGGGGGGGGGGGGATGTTGGTCAATAAAAATATATATGTTGAGCGGAGACTTTTGATAATATCAGGATTTAATACCATTGATTTCATTTCTATGAACTCAAATTTGGTACATCCGTGCAATATAAGAACAAATTAATTAATATAACTGTTAAGAAATTTTAATTTTACTACACTCAATACGGTAAAAAAAAAAGACAAAATGACGTACAATGTATTTTTTTATTTTTATTGTCATATAAACCACTTTTCAACCCGATGATAAAAAAAATTATGTGTTATCAAAACATACAATAATTTATATTGCAAACAAAACTGAAAGATAATAATAATTAAAAAAAGAAAATCATGAATATTGTGTTAGTTCAAGGAATAACAGAAAATGATAGTCAAGCTATGCTACATAATATCATACACGTCATCATCAAATAATTATGCTATATTGTCATTAATATGAAATAGTGCTATTATTCCAACAAAGCTCATTCTAAATATCGTCTTCCCTACAAAGGCGGAACCAGGAGGGGAGTTGGGTCAGGGGCCAGCAGCAACATCAACGAAAACTATTCAACAACATTACAATAGTACATCCTGCCCCTACGGTTAAAGAGTATTTTGAGGGGTGGTAGGACTTACTAATAGGACAAAAATCACGAGCCCCCCCCCCCCCCCCAACCCAGCTCATGTGACATGTCTGGATCCGCCCATGGTCCACATCAAACCAAACAATGCTTCTTGTGATCGCATCATATTGTATCTTTTTTTTGTGAAGGAGGGTATAATCAAACAAGAATTTAAAACAACATTGACCAACATGTAAACAAAGTGATAAAAACAAAAAACATGAAATACTAATGACATATAATTTTACTCATTTAAAGGAAAAAATAATTATAAAATTCATAATTGACTGTGATTCTCGTTTTCGCCACTGTGTGGCACATTGTTTAGATAAGTGTGAACACCGTGTGTCACGTTTCGACACTACGCGAGAGTGCTAAAGCCTCGGTGCATAGACACTACAGTGTAAAGTATTACACACTGTCTCTGGTCACAGAGTGCCAAACAGTGTGGAACAATGTGAACACAGTACGTACACACATATGTGACTGTGATGCACACGCAACGTAATTTCCCGTTTTCACCACAGTGTGGCACATTTGTTTAGGTAAGTGCGAACACCGTGTGTCACGTTTTGTTCTGACACTATGAAAGATTGCTAAACCCTCGGTGGAACACACTGGAGTTTTTAGTATTACACACTGTCTCTGGCCACAGTATATCACACAGTATGAAACAATGTGAACACAGTACGTACACAAACTGTAAAATTATCAATGTTCAACACATTCATACTAATCGCCTACCCCTTACAAACAAGTTTTCAATCGTCACTATGCAATGTAATATTGTTGTCTTTCTATGGGGTGTGTTAGAAGGGAAACTACGGTGTCTAGACTCAGCCTTCAAAACATGTCTAATAAAATCCACAGGGATGTTTCTACCATCTCATGAGTTTAGCTGTCGTACAGAGACTATGACTCTTATTCTAATCATATTTGAAAATGGAATGACACTTGGTATAAATAATGACGTCTTTTGATAATAATATAGAGTTCACGAAATATCGATGTGCGGTTCTGTCGTTCTTTCCTATTTGTTTATTAATGATGATTTCAAACAAAACAAAAATAAGCGATTAAAGTTGCAAAGTCAAGTTACATAAATTGTGAACAAATGGTGAGACACTTAGATTACATAGCAAAATCTGATCCACAGAAAATCTCTCCAAACCCCGAGTCTTATAATAAGTTTCAGCAAATATACGCAAAAAAAGTATGATTAAATGACGATACTGCAATGATTATTAACGAACGCGGTCGCAGAGACTTTCGATAAATCAACTCCAGGCAATTTCAATATCTCATTGCTTATTCCACTGAAATCATATTCGAAATTACGTAAAACTTATTCGTAACATTGGCATATTTTAAAAGGCGATGGATAAGGCTATCAAAATTGCATCGATTTGATTTTTCGAAAGTCTTTGAGGAAAGGAAATAACAAGTTTAATGAATAAATAATATAAATCAAAACTCAAGAACACTGTATCACCTCACGAAGTCATAAAGAAAAGTATGAGAAAAGAATATATCACAAATATAGAACCCTTATTTGTTAGCCACCGGCGCCGACACAAAGCAGGTCATTTAAGTTAATCACACGACCGCGGTACACGATCTACTTTATATTTACTGGACGTGTGATTTCTACCAAATGCGGTGGAATTCTAGTATGCTTCGCAAAGAGCCCTCTTCACATTGAAAAGATTATTTATACTAATCTGACGAAGAAAGCAGATTCCACGCTGTTAAATGGCCACTACATACTCGGATAACTAAGGCATATTCAATCTTGGCCAAGCTTCTACGGTGCAAGTGCATAATAATACTAAACCAAAAGCAATCAAAGTGGTGATTTTTTGTTTACTTCAATAAAACGCAGTATAATTATAACGAAATAGATACAATAATAGGCACCATATCACACCTGGTGATTGGCTGACAACCTGAAATATATACAGTTGTTCTCAATATGCTACACATAGCGGGTGAGAATGCACTTATCACACGGTTGATCCAGGTCTTTGCACACGAGGCGTTTTTTGGTGACGCATGACTACGTCAGAGAACAGGTGGATCTTCCATGCGCCATATGAGAATTACATCGTACAGAAAGTGCATACATACTGATAGAGCAGCGGAGCAAAAGCAATGGATGAATGGGACATGTGTTAGAGTGTATGAGTTTATACATGTGGTTAGTGAACAAATAGTAATAGCGCAATCAAAATGACGCATCGTGAACGACGAGCAAAACAGGTCGACTTACAAGTTATCAATTTCTATGAAATATATTCAATTTCTTCATTTATACCGACATAATCAAACATGGCTGCATGTATCACTCATGGTCTATTTTCAAATGTGAAACGGCTTTTACACCGACGGAATACTGCCTCTGACTTCTCCGTCGCAGCGATCACATTTCCCATAATCCCATATTTGCAGCTAGCCGCCTGACACGACCAAAGCGTGAAGGCGATTATTTGTCGCTTCATTTGACGGACTTACGGTGAGGAATGTTCCTCGCACAATATCCACAAGCGAGGCGCATCATCGAAAATATGTTTAAGAATTCCGTTAAAAGCCCATTCCTACGTTCGTAAATAACACTATTAATAACAATTTTTTGGGCTAACATAGTGCTCAATACACCAGCGATTTGTTTTTATACATGTACATATATAATTACCCTATGAGGAGAGTGGTAACAGAGGGCTAATGTATTGAGAACAAAATATGTAAGTACTGGGATTGGATTCGAACCCTCACACATTGGACTGAAGATGCATAAAGTTAATGAACCACTAAACAACGATACTATATAATAATAATAATAATAATAACAGCTAGTTTTTATACAGCGCTTTTCAGGACTGATACACCGATAATCAAAGTAACGGCAGAGTCAAACCTAGTAAATCTCTATTCCATTTATGCAATCATATAATAGGAGTTGTCAAAACAGCACAGTTTTTTAAAGGAACTGCCCTATGATTTTTCGTTCATGTAAAATAAAATATCACTCTACATAAATATATGGGTATCTGGTTAAGCTCTTTACTCTAAAATGAAGGAAGAAAAAGGTTAAGCTTGATACGGTAAACAACATAGGTCCCGTCTATATTTAAAGGCACGCAGTCATTATTGCTGACGAATGGTTTTATCTAATAGCTGATATTATCATTCTTTTTAATTTTCACAAGACGTACCGTTACCTCACGTTGGACTGCGTCAACGACTAGCGCAGTCTCTGACGCAGTCTCTGAATTGCCAACGCATGTCCTTGTGCCTTCATTTGCATATTAGCGTAAGTATTAACGCAATCACAATAATGCCTCGTGCATAACAGGCATTAGAATATCAGGGCATGAAAATATAATAAAAAGGCAGCATTAAAATTCAATAAAAACAAACCCTCATGTCACATCGTAATTAATCGCGTACATTTAATATAATTTCCTGTTATTTATGCCAAAGATAACTTGCTGGTACATATTTAGGCATTGGATTCAATTTGCTTCCTGCATCATTTCGAATCGATGGAGGCCACTCCCGCTGGCTACACACACAGGTGACTCTGTTAATGTATCCTCTCATTCATGCACTGTCAGCATTCACCTTCAATGAATTGACATTAAAACAGATTTGCTTTCTATAATTAGTTTTTTGTGTGGAAATGCTAGCACCTGTCGCCGTCGGGGTGAATACCACATTCGACTGTGACGTGAATGTGATCCTGCCAATATGTTGCTTTTATATATACCTGTATATAATATACGGAGGAGTGGCGAAGTTACAGGGGGTACCGGGGGCATGTGCCCCTCAGTAAAATGGCAGAAAGGGGGAGAAAGAAAAGGAAGGGAAATGTAAGGTGAAAAGTAAGTGAAACGACCCAGCTTGAATACACACCGTACCCCTAATCAAAAGCCTTCTTGATTTGCGTTACATCCATCGAAATGGACGGGTGCCCCCTATTATGTCATGAAGCCCCCTTGATGTCTAGGCCTACTCTACGCCACAGATACAGAGTTTGGTCACATGAATTGTGCTGGATGTTTTAATGAACAATAAAACATCTGCAAGAATTTAGTTTGGATGGTTAACTTAGATGCTTTTTGAAAGGTCATACCATTATTGATCCGGGTAATGTTAAAGATGGCAATTGAAGAAGAAAAAAAGTTAAAATATATTCTTGCATATTTAATTCTTGTTCATTTGGGCTCAACATTGGCAATGGCAATACACTTCCCGCAGAGTTCAGTTCCTATATAAGTATAAGTATAAGAGTATCAGTTCCTATTCAACGGTAAATCTTGGATTATGTGCGATAAGCCCACGCATTTTATCAATAAATTGTATGAAGGTGATAAAGTTGATAGCCAAAGATGGACGCACCCAAACTACACAATTAAAAGGCAGTATTCAACGACACGATTGCTGGTGAGTGATGCTCCATTTTTGTGTGTTGATAAGACTGCACTATTTGTTTCTGTTGACATAATCTTCAAAGCCAATCGCAGAACATGGGAAAGCCATGATGGCGGCAGCGGCACCTCAGTCAGTTGCAGAAATCGGTTCGTGCGTGAGTACCTTTAACTATTTTCGTTGTTAATTAATGTTCGGTATCCATCGTAATCTGTCGCGTGAGAAAGATAAATTAATAACTATCTTGCACCTGCCTTTCCTTATCGAAGATGCAAACGTGATACATCGATCAATATATCTATATATCACACAAAGGGTTTAGTTTGAAATGATTAATGTCAAAACACCATTATCAACACCATTATCAACACCATTACCAACAACAGCCTGTTTTAAATCAGTTATAACAGACCCTTCGCGCTTCAGACGGCGGTTTTGGATAAAAACAAAACCATTATCGTCACTATTATCACTATTCTGCCATCTTCTTCGAGTAATCTGTCTTACTTCCGATTGCTCTATTGTACTATGTTTAATATTACTGCACTCTAACAAAGCTCTATTATAAAAAGAAAATTAAAATAAGTGACATGTACACTGGCAAAATCGAAAATAATATAGGACACTTAAAGGTAGAAATGGACTGATATCAATATAATGTTATAATGAATATAAGAAATGGGATGCCACTTTAAAAACTTATCGATTCTGTTCACAGCAAATGTATATTCGTCATCTTTAACTTAAAATAACTGAACAATTTATAGTACGTCAGAACGTAAAATAAGGGAGATCTGGGAATCTTCACCAAATGTTGTCGTTTGCGGTTGTTTTCCCACTTATGACCATTACTATAGTCAGCTGAATCAAAGAAGAACACAGAAAAGCAAATCGTAAAAATTATAATAAAAAGGGTAGTTCACAGTCTACACAAGTTTAAAGGCGGTTGGCGATGAAATCTTATTTTACTACATTATATTCCAATACTGAATACTTATCATTTAGTAATATCTTTACATGAGGCTTAACTATCTACCGACAGTGCCAAAAGGACACAATATCAATTTCTTTGGCACAGAGTTACCGCCCGAGTTGAAATAGTTAATGCATGAAAGTTTCCAGACTCTTTACAGATTATAATATTTTACTTAATATAACCTTTGTTTTATTGAAAATGTATTTAATATTTATTATTTATATGGATATATAGATATATATAGTAATTAGCAAGGGAAAAGTGATGCTGATAACGCCTTCTTCTAAAACATCATACCAAGTAAAACCAACCCGAGCGCTTACAGTACCTTACAACTCATAAATGCCATATGGGATGTTTAAAAATAAAACACATAAACACTTCAAATCATCATTTCAATTGACAAATCTTTATGACGTGAAAATGTGCCGTATCTGTTGTCAAACGGCCTCACAATTGAAAATGTGTCATTACCCAGGTAGGCTTGTTATTTGATTTTTTTGTGGCAACTTATCATTGATTCACCCACGTTGCCGTGACAGTTCAGTGACCTTTATAACATTCATAACGGTGAACCGTTTCCTTCGAGGTCAAAGTTCAAATCATCGCCTCTTTAAGCTTATCATCCTTACAATGGACGACACATTCTTGAGAAATCTTCCGTGTTCAACGGGCTCGTGGAAGAAGTGGGGTCTGACGTCGCATCTGCCTCTCTACATCATCGTCGTCATTGAACCCGGTTCGAGGTCGATCACGACGTCATCACCGTTACACTGGAAGAAAATAAACAGAGATTGGATTATAAGGCAACACTTTACCAACATCTCCTTTGTCCCCTCTACCACCACCACCACCACCACCATCACCACCACCATCACCATCACCATTACCCCCCATTAACCACCATGCACTACCACCACAGTCAGTGAATACGCAATTACCTACCAGGTACGATTTCTCTCCCTGATCGTCCAATGGGCCGGTCATCGCCAGCACTGGTCCGGTGAATGACCGGTATCCCAGTACCACAAGCCCCTCGTGTACCCGCGGCCAGGTGGCCCGACATATCGTAATTGTTAGCTGGACGTCGACCTGCACTTGGTAGTCTAATGTCCGCTCGCCCACCCTGGAAGAGCAACGAAAAGAAATACAGAATGCTAAAATGAGCTTTATTGATAGAAAAATTCCGCTGAGACGTAATCCTTAAATGCATAGGAGTAGAATCGACGTTGAAGGAGTCCTATTATGACCACTTCTTTTTAATAGAGATGATTCCTTTCCAAATTAGAGGTGAAGTCATAAAAGTGACTTCAACGATTTTTAGCGTAGATTTCCACTCCAAACGGAGTGGTCCCTGATATGACAACCCACAAAAGTGGACATCCACTCACGTAGGTGCATTTTATTAAAATGAGAGAATTGTGACCTTCAATTTCATCTGTAATTGAGAATTTCCCGATAGAACTACATGTTTGTCTACAAAATAAGGCAGAATCATATCACAATGCTTTCATCAGCTGATCATAGAGACAGAGAGAGAGAGACAGAGATATAAAGAGAGATAGAGATACAATAGAGAGAAAGAGAGAGAGGGAGAAAGAAAGATCCACTGCTTAAGTTAAAAGGGTGTGGTCTAAGAGAGGAAGGGGAGGGGGGGGGTAAAAGATAAATGGGACTCGATAAATATAAACAGAGACAGAGCATTACAAATTTGAATGAGGTTTATCAAACTTGATCTAACATCGTCAAAATGTCTGATAGACTGCTCAACAAAACGCGACAAAGAGCGTGGGTATACTTCCCTATTTTATTCATGAATACGACAGTACCTAATACATATTCCTGAGGGAATACTAATCGCCTTGTAATATGGGCTCTCAACTGGCATTTTCGGAGATTACTCACAAAGTCTCAAAGATGTACAGTGTAGATGAAAAATATCTTCATGTTATCTTTAGTGATGGTTATAAAATGGAATTTAAATGATTTTTTAAAAGTTTTTATAAATAATTGAGTGTATATTTCATATAAAAATCTTGCTTAACGTTACAAAACACTACAAAGGCAAGGTGATCCGAAATGGACACATTTTACTTCATACACAGACGACATTAAGTACTTGGTAACAAAAGTAATAAACAAAGAATATATCCGAGAGCTTTTCAAGAGCAATATTTATTATACCAATGCTAAATTGTGACCATGACATTCGATGATAAATGAATGTGACAACATGATAAAAATGCTTTAACATATTCACGAAATAATAGTTTATTCTATTCAACACATGTTTTTAGCTTTACAAGTTATGTATCGCTAGGTACTCGCAACCATTGCCATACCGACATTGTGATATTATAATCGTACTTTAAAAAATTATGATTGTTATGATTGTTATTATTATATTTGCTTTATTGATCACTATTGTAATGTTTATTATTATAATCATTATTTTTATTGTCATCATTATTAATATTATTAGTAGTATTAACAGTGTTGTTACCATCATCATTACTATCATAGGATAATAATCCATTCTTATGAAATACAAATTTGCATGTACAGTTACGTTCACAGATTCTATGAACGTAACTGTCAAATAAGTTTGATTTGAGTGGATGACTATGAAATGATAAGAAATGGGAATCTCTTGTCAATGAAAATAAACTGACAGTAGAAATAGCAGGCTTTGCCAAATATACCCACCCTATAAGTAAATACTTTGTTAATTAATTGAATTTGAATATATAGTAAACGTAGATTGAATGAGATCATCTCGATAAAAGAATATGCCGGAACCCCGTACACATAAACATAATATACAGTGGTACCGGTTATCTATCTATCGCAAAGGTAGCGGTTATAGATAATCATATCTCGCGACATATGCCATATGTTCGTATATGTTGGGATACTTTCCCCCTGCCCCAGCGAGCCCCCACTACCAAACGGCCGAGTCTTCATCAGGGTAGCGACATTTACATACTCGGTGATGCCCGTATATAGACAATGGGCTTTGAACATCTGGTTTGTTTGCTTAGATGCGAACGGTAGGAGGGAGTAGCTCGGTGATAATTGCTACTCTAATGCCTGGTGATTAATCATTGGAGTCGATGAGCGGATGAAGGGCTCAACTCCATCACTAGCTATTGATTTATAACAGAAAAAGCTTGATATTTCGATAATATTAAGAAATATAACGTTTTCGTCTTCGTGTAGTAAAAAAAGAAAATAATGTAGATGTATCATGGTTCGTTGGGATGTATATATATTGCGTCTCGTTAACCTAGCTACGCCACAATATTATTATTTTATTTATTTATTTGTTTAAATTTATTATCATTAATAAATTATATTTTCTATTATGATTATTATTAATATTATTATAATTATTATAACATTGTTATTATAATAATTATTATTGTTATCATTATTACATTATTATTATAATTATCATTATAATTATTATTATTGTTATTATAATTTTTTCTTTTCAATTTTAATGTTGTTGTTGTTCTTCTTCATGTTGCTGTTGCTGATGTTGTTGTTATCATGTCTCTTAAACTTATAAAAAGCAAGTTTCCTTCTTCCTCTCATGTTTACACTTACTTGTCGCCTCTTTTTCATTGAGATGACAGGATTGGGGGAGGTTTTGATTGTAGAGGAGACATACAATATCATGCCATGAAAATCAGTCATCCCCTAGCTGCACTAACAAGCCAAAGTCTATGTCTTCGACGTTTGTGCTAGAAAGCAATATAGGTATACAAGACTAGTGTCAAGGCAGATATGGTTCCCAATCTGTCCGGTAAAATCTGTCCCCACAAGATGGTCCATACTCGACATTCACATTAGCTTAGCTTATTGTTCTAAAACCTTCCCTGTAATTTTAACCTGTAAGTGTAAATTTATAATTGCATAATTCTTCGTATTTGTCTTTGATGATATTGTTCAGAATGAGTGAACAGGTCAATGCATATAACTTTAAAAATATGGGCCCTCTCTTATAAACAGTTACGATTGATCCGAGTCAATCGCAAGTCCTCCAATCAATCGCAAGTGTAAAGTCTACTATCTCTTATGTACATAGTCGTGCTTAATTGCAACTGTTCAGACGGGACACTGTTCTCAAATTCCGTGATCTTGACGTGTATTCATTATCTATTCAGTGATGAAATGGATGCCACCACATTTGCCAGGCCAATTCTGCTGTCAAACATGCTGACAATGTCCTCCTTTTTATATCCTCGTTCGTTCTTTCTTTTGAGATTGATGTATCTATTTATTCGTGTATTTATTTATTCATTTATTAAACTATTCATTTATCGATCATTTTTACCATTATTGGGTTCAATTTGATCTTTTCCTTAAATTGTATTTGATGTTGCCGAGAGTGGATCGCTCTCTGGAAATTAAGTGTTGACGTAATCCCGACCAGAAGAATCTTCGCGTTACGACTTCTACGAAAAGGTATATTTCTTTATATAAAATTATGCTTACATCCATACGACCTTTGATGATACACCGAATAAATATTAAAACCACACAAGACAGGCTAAAGTGTTTATTAACAGCTTCCAAGTTTCCTAAAACCCGTTTAGTCTATGGTCTTTTTAGAACCTATATGTAAAATTATTCAGATGTTGGGAAACCGTTTCTCTAATGCACTATTATCAACACTGCCAAAGCACATTCGACATACATTTAAATGCATTACCTGGGATTGTAATGGGGCCATGTGCGCCCGAACACTCGCGTTTATTGATGCAACTATGGCGCACTTTTGTCAAGTACCCACTTAAGATTAAACATCAGCTTACAAATTGTTAAGATACAATACATAACAAGTGGCTTTTGGACCGTTTACACTTCAGATTACTTCTAGAGAGTAGTTCAAGATAATGCAATCCTGGTATATGGAAAAGAATGTTATCCCCACAAGCGCGTTTAACACGATCACAAAGACTTTCGAGAAACAATTTCAATACCATGTTTATTCACTATAAATCATTTTCGGATTACATAAAAGGCAATACAGTATGAGTCAAAAAAAAGTTCACACTTCGAAAATTGCTAATTATTTTAAAAATTATCTACGAACACTAAATTATTATGCATCTTATGAAAGAGTGTTTTTTCCCAAATCATTTGGTATAATTTTTGTGTGGTATTTGTTAACGCTTGGATGAACAGGAGGCATTGTTTGCAAGAGTGCAAAAATTGACTTGCGCCAAAGTTGCTTATGTGAGAGAATGAATTGAATATATCAAATGAGATGCATTGCATATGCCTTTTGCAGAAGCAAAGTCACACACACACGCGTGCACGAAATGTTCTTTCATATTTTATATTTAATATGTGTGGCATGATTAATTTTGTTAAGGATGTTATTTTGATCTGCAGAGACCGAATTAATACCAAAATCACAATTGTTTTATTCAAACATCACATATTGAAGCAACTTTGGCGCACTCTCGCAAACAATGCCTCCTGTTCATCCAAGCGTGAACACATACCACATACAAGTTATACCGAAAGATTTAGGATAAAACACTCTTTCATGAGATGAATAATAATTTACTGTTCATAGATGATTTTTAAAATAATTAGCAATTTTCTAGTCGTAAACTTGTTTTTGACTCACTGTATAGTGCTTTACATATATTCCATTTGCAACTCCATGGATTGCACAATCTGTTCACAGACAGACCTGCACATTTCGCTCGATGGAAGTTAATTTATTGGCAATTCAATGTGACATCCGACTAGATCGAAGGCAGGTGAGCTTTATTATACACTCAGCGTCATTAAATGCACACGCTTAATTCATTAGATTAAACTGAGGTCATTCAAGGGGATGATATAGGATTTATTCACCGTATTGACGGCGGCGTCTTGCCCCTGGTGATGATAGGTTATTGTCGACAGAAGGTTATAACATGCTCTTAGAATAGATTTTACGGTTATTACTTCCTATTTAAATATGCAAATGGATTTCTGGAAACAAGCAGACGAAGGAGCTTGATTAATATGTTAAGTGGGTTATCAAAATGGCTTTCTATAGTAGATACGTCACTAAGTTATCTTAAAGCCCCACTATCCTACTTGTAGCTACTTGCTCCCTCTATATAGAAAACTTCCACAATCGGTGCCTGTTGGTCCCCCATGATCCTGTTTTTCTTATGTTAGTTGATGATGTTGATATGTTAATGATAGAGCCACCTGTCAGTGACCTCGCTGTGTGGTCTAATCCCTTCTGGTAGTATTGACGGTCTTTAATGTAGACCTTCAATTCCTGTCTCACACGAAATGTCATTTTGTAGACGCAGCAGTGCGTTAGTGACTGGTAAAGTACTTGACTCATCATGTGAGACGTAAATTGTAACAAAACAGTGATTGCATATGAACAGGGCAAACATTGCCTTAATTTACGAAGTATTGACTAATTTCCTTTACAGGGCTAATTAGCACAGGCAATATCGCAATCAAAAATAACATTTCGCTTGCACAAGCATAATACATTTTAAAACGATAGAGGCTAGTATCAAATGAAGGCACACATGTGAATGGCAATAGACATATCAAATTAACAAAATTATAGTTTACAAAAAAGGTCATCGAACCAAGGCTCAAAAACATGCAAAGGTCTAACAAACCGATGTGTTTTTCTTCTTCTTCTTTTTCTTCGTCTTCATCTTCCTCTGTCTTCTTCTTTGATTTCTTTTTCTTCTTCTTCTGCTCCTTCATAATCTTCTTTATCATCTTCTTCTTCGTCGTCTTCTTCTGCTTCTTTTACTCCTTCCTCATGCTAAAATCATCCTCTCTAATCAACCCTACTACCGCATCTTTTAAAACGGAAGCTTAACCAATCGAAACGCGGCAGTTGTTTCATGATTTATTTTCAAAACGCAGCGTGGAAAAAGCTGAAATGGGATTTTGCCATAGGCAAAACACGACTACACTGAGATAATGCTTTGCTTTCCTGTTATGACTGTGGCTCTCTAACGTGATGAGACCGTATCAAGTGTCGGGACTTTCAAAGAGTTCAAGCTGAAAAGAGCCACTTTCTACCCCCCAGCTTGTTATTAATATTCAGAGTCAATGGGAAGTTGCTATGGAAACTAAGATGCACCGAACAATATTGCAAAAAGATTACATATTCTCGATCGTTAATGAGAAAGCTAAAAGTCAGTGCTGAAACATGCCAGATCGCTTTCAAAAAGGGTAATCCTGAACTAAAAGGTCGTTGCTAATGATTTGTCAATTATACTTTACTAAGGAATGATTTAAAGATAAAGTTGATTTCTAGTAATGCGATTGCACTGTAAAAGGAACTGTTGAAAGGATTGATTATATTTAGCAAATAGGTACTGGTGTACACTGTGAGACTTTGGAATCATTAAAATTATTTTATTAAACAGATTGGGCCAATTTTGTTAAAAGTCACATGCACTTAAATATGAGGGCATTAGACGAACGGGGGGGGGGGGTAGAGGGGGAAGCACGTGACCCTTGCGAAATAGATCATATATAATTAAAATTGTGCCCCCTCCCTTGTGGAAAAAAAATGTGCCTTTGCCAGTTTTGTTTCTTTTTGCATTTGTGTTTCCTTGACAGAGCTACAGCAAGTCATGCTCATAGCTCTGAACATTATTTGTAAGCTTGTTAACCCTAAAGGCTTGTCCATGCCAGAGTAAAACATGGCGGTCTACCGTGGCAAATGTGAATGAGCCTTTAGGAAGTTGACTATGGTGTGATCATGTATGTGTCATTAAAGAACCGCTTAAAGGGGGTGTAGCATGGCAAATACTGGTAAACGCCATCTACGACTTCTTTTGAGCAGCTGCAAGTAAACGGATGGAACTTGATTAACGGTCAGCGCTCGCTAGCGTTTGCGAAACAGACCGAAGTTCTCCTCACGTTTCGGTTTCGCGTATGTTGCACGCACATGCGGTCGCGTCGTCCCACCCGATTGGCCCCGAGTAAGGCCCCGAGGAAGGCCACGGGAGAGACACGTAGTCTCGTCGTGATACACCCCCTTTAAAGTAGCCACACGAAGAATCGAAAGTGTTTTGAATTGATGCAAAACTCATATCATTGCGAAGGGGAAGCCTTGCCGATCAAATACAACAACTCTTCTCTTCAAAATATGTTTGGGGCCAGCAGTAATCAACTCTCATAAATGTTAGTTTTGAGATCCAGATTTTCTGCCTTCAGCGGTCCTTTGTAGAGCATCAATATTTGTGACGTCACATACGGCACACGGCTGGCTAGCTGCATACTGCTACACGGCACTGAGCTGTTCGTCCAGTGAGTGACGTCACTATTCAGAGCTCGCTACGCTTGTGTGTTTGACTTACGTTCAGGGGCGTTCGGGGGTCTAAGGAGGGTCTTGAAAAATTGCATTTTACGCCTTTCCATGATATTTATATGATTTCTCAGCAAATTGTTCGTATTTTTCAAGAGAAAATCTTTCCATCCATATGTAAGTTGTTCTAATTATGAGTTGTTAGTGAATTTTCTTTGTGTAGCTCCTTCAAGGCTCGTTCAGATATGTTACAGTAAACCGACCGACCGTGTAAATAAATGTACAACAAAGGTCCTGCGCGTATTAACTGAGCTCTGCGTTGCAAGATACAGAAATGTAAAAGGTGCAAAATGTATTTTTAATAAAGATTTCATGCACTAAAAATACCTTCTAAATGCTAGAAGGTAATGACGCACTGACGCAATCAAAAAGACGCCTCAAAGAAACTCATGCACTTGGTTTAGACTTACCTTTTGGTTGAGGTTCCGCTCAGTCAACATGAAGAGCTTCTTGCTGATATCGCTTCCGATGAGGTTGGTAAAGACCTGCTTCAGGTAGGGTTCGTTCTCTAGGAAGTCGTGCAGCTGATCACGATGCCATGTGATGTATCGACAGTAGGTAGAAGCCGTTAGAGTCACCTACGGGGGTAGGGAAAGGCTGATGATAATTACAAATAATTTTGTTTGGCAATAAGAAAACGAAGTAAAAATTGTAGAAGCAAGATTGATCACAGTGCCCAAACTTTTGTAGGTACCCCCGAAGTGCCCTTCCAAAATTAGGAAAGTACCCCATTTTATTTCTAATAAGTGCTCCTTTCCTTTTTTTATGAGCCCACTTGAACTTCAAATAATTGCGCATTTTCACCTCTAATAAGTGCTTCTTTTTAATGAGTGCCCTTCCCCTTCCGATGACTGCGATAATTTTTTTTGGTAGAGAGTATAACATCTTACATCCATAATTATTGTTAAAGATTCAGTAAAGCCCTAGTTTGAATTGTAACGTGGTTATATGGTTAATTGTAGAGTAGTAACACCTCATGGTGGAGGGGGGGAGTTCGAGGTACACCCCTAATTGTAACTGACGTTGGCAAATCCATAACTGTTATTGGAGATTTGTGTATGTTTTTTTTAAATTTATTTTTTAAAGATTTTTGTATGAAACTCCCATATATTACAAAATCTAAAGACATTTATTGTAACCCTATACGCCCACCCATCCCCTTTCTCCTCGTCGTATTTCCTTCTTCTTTTGTTCTGTTGTAAAATTTGTTGGTTGTTCCGATCCCAACGCCCCCATTAAAAATATATTGGGTTCTACGTACACTACACATTGTTGACATTCAACTACTAGTAAAAGCATGGAGTAAAGGGAAACCCATATATAGCACAGAGGTTCATGATTAAAAGATATGGTTCTTTGCGTGCTTTCAGAATACAACACAAACGATTCGTGGTAAAGGATAGGAAGATTGACTGAGAAAGCGAGTGGGAGATGAAAGGTAATGCACTTGAAAGAAGAAGGTCATTTGAACGGATCTTTATAGTCGCTTCAACCGTATCTAGGTCTCATACAAATAAATTCACTATTCATGTTTATATGCTGTAAATAGTGTAAACGTTTAGAATCTGTAGAACGTATGTTACAAGAGTATATAAAATATACCCCGTTTACTTTATAATTGATTTTACATGGCCACGTATATAACGTGTATCAACTTAGACTTCTGAGGCAGTATAGAAATATTTACTTGCAAATTAATTTTGAGTGAGTATTTGTGTATTTGTTTGTACGATAATTATTCATTTATTGATTTATTTGTTTCTTCCTTTCTTCCTTTTTTTTGTTTACTTACCTGAAAAAACTCTGCTTTTTCGCTCTTTTCACAGGAATCCCATTCGGGTGAATCTAAGAATTGCCTTTCCACAATGTGATGTAAAAACTCGCCTTCACAGAAGACTTTAACTCTGTTTGGATAGAAAATTAATTAGATTATATTTTGCATGAAAGACATTTTGGAAATATGCCATAACAAGCCTGAAAGATTACAGTATTTCTTTGGGAGGTAATGGAAGGGTGAAGACAATAGGATGTTATTTTGATTTTCTCATAATGAAACGGAATTGAATATAGTCGGGGTATTTACAGCAGTATATCTAAGATATTCACTTTCTTGTATACTATCTCTTTTTCTTTATAAGATATTCTATAAAAGTTTGATACATAACATGTACATCCACAGGAACATTAAACAAAAACTGAACTCAAATTGTTCTTATTTTATCTGTCAAAATTTCCTAGTGTTGATTTTGATTAACTCTTATCAACACAGTCCAATGAGCATGAACAATTACTGCTATTACGAATGCGCCCTTGCACGCACATGGCACTCAAGCAATGGCTCTCTCGCATGTACAAAGCACTATAACGATAGCGTGCATGCAGCCTTATGGCAGGCTATGAGTTAAATAAGAGACTTCCTTTTATTAACTGGGAGATTTTTAGAATATTTAAAAAAAGATATGAAGGTATATGAACTCACTTTCCCATTAAAAGCATTGATAGGCGAACGCACTGCGATTTGCCTTCCTCGGAATAATGTTCTCCGATTTTAAGTGAGGTGATTTTTCCATAGTAGCACAGTTTCTTGAAGACATGTCTTGGCACTTTAAATGATTTGAACACTTTGTTATATAGTTCTCGCTGCTCCGGGGTGAGATTCACCGGGCGCATAGTCCACGACAGATAGATGGTGTGGCATAGATTGAGAACAGCGAAAACAAGGCACCAGCCAAAAATGTCGTGAGCGCAGATGTACTGCCACGCCCACGCTGCCATGATCACGAAGCCCACCACGAGGAGAGTGTGCGTGACTAACTTGGCGGTGCCGTTGGTGGAAGGTGCGGCGAAGGCGATGATGAGAATGATTGAGGCCAGTTGGAAAACGATGCTCTGGGCCGTCTCCCATGGCAGGCACGATGACGAGCCCGGTGGCGGTGGAAGCGACGTCGGATTGACCTCCGAAGGCGGGGTCGAGGCTAAGAAGGGGTTGTCTAACGGCGTTAAAGTCGGGGACGCCATTTTGTGTTTTCAAGTCAACAACTTAAGTCGCTGGTGCCGCCCACGTGTTTGAATTGATAGCTTCAGAATAGTATCTGATTCATTCGAGGAGATGTGCTTTCTTTTTCATAATGGTTCCAACCTAAAAGGAAAATAAATGAAATAAAAGCCGTTAGACATCTTAGACATAATACCTCCCTCAGGTTAAAGCATTCATTCAATTTGCACTTAACCAAAACGTATCTTACAAGAGTAATCAAGGATTCTGCCCGCCTAAGTTGCTTTCAATTCGTAAACGACTTTTGAAATAGTGCACCCTGATTACATACTTTACCGATTAGTTTCTTTAACCATAAAAATATCAATATCATTTTATTTCTAGTTGATTTGACGCGTGAATTTATTTGGAGACATAATATAGAAATGGAAAAAGCTTCAATTGACAGAGGTATATTTTTAATCAAGGTACCTAATCTTTATGAAGCCACCAGATTGTCGAACATTTGTCACAGCTAAGGTTTCATAACACAAGCGCTCAATCATAAAGTAATACATTTAAGATTTTGCATGTATGTTCGGAATAATATTTTCCCTAATTGAAAACCTTTGATTGCTTTAATGCAACAAAAAAAGTTATTAAATGAAAGGATCTGAAATGATTTCATAGTGTGATATAAATAGATTGAAGTGAAAATAAGCATTGGAAAACAATTATATTCTATGAAAATTCGAGTTTGTCGATTTAATAGAATACACTACATCGTGTAACATCGTGTATCAAAATTAATTTCTTGACATTACATTTTAATTTTGAATTGGTTTGTTTTTTGTTTTTGTTTTACATTTGATTTTACCACTTATTTTGTATTCTTATTTTGTATTATATGCTTTGTATATTTAATTTTACCATTTATGAAGGGGGCAATATTCAAGGGTATGTTAAAGGTCAAGAAATGATATGTATATCATATAACAAGGAAAAAGAACAAAGAGAAAAAAACTTGTGGAATCATAACGCGGAAGTTAAGGTTCAACCAGCACTGTAGGGTTTTCAGAAGGTTACAGTACATGTTAAAATCATGACATGTCAAAGGTCAAAGAGATATAAGCTATATTTCCATCTAAAAGAGGTGGGTGTGGAGATACATCTTGATTATATTAATGTGGTGACTGATTTCATGATTTAGGTCCGGCGTGATAATAATGTGAAACCTCGTCTCTGGTAATATAGTGATATTCTTATGCAACCGCTACCACAATGCATTGTGATAATGCCATAATGTAAAACGGTTCGATGTGTTTCAGCTCGCTTTCCCCCATGATAAATTATCGCCTTTGATGTATCTCAGGCGAGAAAAATATGACAGACGAGATATAAGACGTGATGAAGCATCCCACGTGATTTGATTGCCGTTTCTTCTTCCAATCGGTCACGTGATAAGCTGCAGTGGAACGAACAGATAAGAGGTCACAATTAAAACATTTTCGCAGCTGCCGATTGTCATTCTAGAGTGGTAATGTAAACGATGGTATTTTTCAGGTGCAGCGAACTCCACTCGCTATGGTCTCGTTGTACTTTTGTTCTTATTTTTTGTTTCTCTTTTCCCCCGCTTTTTTCTACTTTACTTATGATTTTTAATTTGTGAATTTTCGATATAACGATGGTTTTACAGCTACCAGTAATTTGATTTTATTCACACGACTGGAATTGATTTTTAGGAGATAAGTCTTAATTTACAAAAGGTTAATATCAGCTACCGGTTATCGTACATTATGTATTATTATTAGTTAAATTACAATGAATTAACAAATACAGCGATGATATTGTTGAAAAAAAAAGGATAAACGTGTAAAAAGGCAAATATCGGGGATGGGGGTTTTCAAAGCTGCTATAAGCAAACTATTAACAGAAAGGAAAATAGTTAAAATGATCATGTCATCTGTACAAATGTTCCATGACGATGTGCCGCTGCTAATTTATAATAATTCATCAAAATAAATTTTTAAAAATGATATGAGATTCCAGGAGTTAAACATATCAGGTAAAGTGTTAAAAATGTGTTTGTTTTTTTTTAAATGAAAAAGGAATGGTATATGACAATAATTGTTGCCGGTGTACGAATGAGCGTACTGAATCCAAAGTGTTTGGTTATTAATTTTGTGGCGCACCTGATAATGGAATGGCGCTCCGTGTGCTGCAATGAAATTCAATACAATGTAAGGCTTCCATTACTATATGGCAGGCATCTTGCACACAGCATCATCATTATGTTCATAAGAGAAAGGGATGACCCTCGCAATAGCCCCTTCCCCGCGTTGACTTAAAGAGGGTTTCTTTATCTGTCAACGACAGCATCTGCCAAGCTATATTTGTTAATATTAGTTTGATAAGGTTATTGCCTGTGCCTACTTATTCTCGATCTAGCTTTAGCTTCGTGTAAAGGCCTTGAAAGATACCATTCTTAGGATAACACATCAGTAGGAAATTCTCTCCTCCTTCTTTTTCTCTTCCTCTCTCTCTCTCTCTCTCTTTCTCTCTCGCTCCTTCTCTCCCCCCATACACACACGTTATCTCCACTTTCTCTCTATTTCTTTTTCTCACCTTTCCCGTTTCTGTACGTCTTTTCCTATTCTCTCTTTCATTACTGCCTTTTTCGATTTGGTTGTTTTCTATGTTCATCGTATTTTTTAAAACCTATTAATTACTGCATAGCTCTCTGGATATTAACTCTGTATTTGACTCCCTCTCTCTCTCTCTCTCTCTCTCCCTCTCTTTACACCACCAATGTCCCTCTATCCAATTTCTCTTTCATATTAACATCTTCATAAAGCTAGCTTCACTCTCGGTTCAATGGGCAAGATAAATTATTTAAGAAAAAGATAGTACCAAGGTAATAGAATACATGGTGTGTATGTGAGGTGGTGTGTGTGTGTGTGTGTGTGTGTGTGTGGGAGGGGGGGGTTTCATAATGTGACTCCCACCTCTGAAGGCGTATTGGGGGGGGGGCGTTCTCCCTATCGACCAAACCTTCAAGATATATCTTCAGAGAGGGAAGGAAACCTTGGGATGATTCTATTCTATGTATAGCAGAATATTGTTCAGCTCCCGCACGTACTAACTAAAGGGCTCTAATACGAAGCCCACCGGTAATTAAATACTCACCCACGTCGCTATTTGCACCGTACAGGACTGATGGTAAACATAGGTCAACCGAGTTGATATCATCTTTCTAAAAACTTCTTCCATCTTTAGCCTTCGTCGTTTGTATTTTCCTCCATCTAAAAGTGTGCCCGCGCAATTTTCACTGGAAGGGGGTTGGTCAGGAGCGGATATTTTTTGCCCGAATCCCAAACTTTTGTTTTCTGATTTTTTTTAGTGAAAATATAATTTCTGTATATTAACTATACAATTTACATCTTTAAATACATGTCTGGATATCTCGCAGCCAAATATGACAAATGACCAAATATTGTACTCTAAAATGTTTCTAATTCCCCATTTATTGTCCAAGAAAAATATTTAGTTGCATGTTCAAATTTGATAGACATGCAGAGAAAAAGAATGAAGAGAAAGAAGAAAAAACATTACGAATATCAAAGTACTTGCAAAGCATGAATAAATGTACTTGCACTTGTCAGAGCCGCCCTGTCATTATCTCTGTATTCAAACCTCCACCCCACCCCTCTCCTCGTCTCTCTGTCCCCCTCTATCTCTCTCTCTCTCTCCTTCTCTCTCTCTCTCTCTCTCTCTCTCTTGCTCTATCGTCCTCCCCGCTCCTTTCTTCATATATCTATACTGTATAACTGCATTCCCGTCTCCCTGTCTCATTATGTATCTGTCTATCATGCTGTTTTTCCTTTCGAGCGCTCCCTCTGTCTCTGTCGCTCTCTCTCTCTCTCTCTCTCTCTCTGTCTCTCTCTCACTCATTACTCTCAATGTCGTTTCCTCTGCATAAGTTTCTATATGAAATTAATTCATTTCTTGTACCCTACGTCTACTTTTCTATCGATCACCCCTCACCTATGTGCATCCTTTTGATAATTGCGCGCGCACATATCCCCCACACCCACACACACCTACCCAACACACATACACTATCCACTCCTTTCCTCACTATCATGTTACAAATACCATGTATATACTAGAACAACTATCCATGAAAATACAAATGTTGTACACCTTTGTTTCTATACACTTTTTTGACACTGTCTAAAGGTATTGTAAGCCTGCTAAATTACTTTTCAATTATTTTCAATTATGCATAATGGATTTATAATGTTTAAGTTAACTTTAGATTAACACTAACGAATTATATCGAAGCAACAAAGCACACAATTTCGGCAGATGGTTCGAAAATATCATAAAAGAGAATCATACTCACACATTTCCATTGATTTAGTAGTTACACTGCGAATTGACGAGTGCACATTTTAGAGTATCAGTAGTAATATATCACATCGCCTGACATGACACTACACGTGCTCTCAGCCGGGCTTTTCATAACAAGCATCGCTTCGGGAATAACAGGGCTTTCAATTACCACCGTGTGTAGCTCGCTTATACACAACCAACAAAACACATGAAGATATATCACGATAAGATTCCCACTTCCTCATTAAGCTCTGATAAAACACACGATTCTCTCCTCTCAAGCTTTAACCGATTCACAAATGAAGTATTAAACGCAAACACACACAGCAGACGACTCGGTGCTTGTAAACAAAAATACAATGGCGTCTTCGCCTCACTTACGGATTTGTGGTTATGTCTTTTTCCCGCGTAAATGAAAAGGATCCCAGTAAACGTCCTCAACTGATCATAAATATATAGTAAGACGTAAGGAAAAGAACTGGGTCATTATTTTGTTCGCGTATTGCCTCGCTAGCTTTCCCGCATGACTTCCAATGCAGTTCTATAGAGGTTTTGGTGTAGCATTAACCGTGCTCCCATACGAGCTGTATAACGTTCGGCGCTGGAACGGTAGGAATGCGAAGAACGCCATATAAACTCCTGACAAGGATGATCGGGTTTATATCGGATACAGACAAAGTAGAATGACATCGCTTTGACTGCATAAACTTTTAACATCTGCAATCATGTTCATTTGATTAATAGTTAGTTTTTTTGTAATGTAAAAGGTTAAAGGTGTAACCATGTACCTATAGTCCAGATTGTTGTTCAGATTGTTTGTAAAGACCTGGATACATTTCAGCATCTATTTTCTTTTGTTGTTAGCCTACGTTTTACTTTTTTTGGATAAATTAATTGTTTCGAAGCAAAATTTGTATCCGAACTAACTATTACAATTTGGTAGATGGCACTTCCTAAACTTCGAAGAAGCAAGAGCCCGGCGCAAGAGATGAACTTCGTGATGAAAAATGAACTGTCGAAGGCCGCCAAGAAGGACTAACGATCAGCCAGGAATACTCAAGAAAATTTGAAGCAGTTTACAAAACATCCGCTTCATCCATTAGGAGGTAGCCTACTGATGATGATACACTGAGACTTGATCTTCAAAACAGGACAATGATTGAAATACTGATTTTTGTTTCCTTTGGTTTTCTTTTTAAAGCATGTACATAAAGTTTAGATACACTGTTCTAATATAATGTATTATTCATGTATTGAGTGAGATGGAATAAAATTATTATTAAAAGGTGAAAGGGGCTGCAGGTCTTGAAAGACGGATAATTTACGAATAAATGAGCCACCCCCACGGATCAGGGGAGTGGTGTGACAGAACGTGCAATCATCATATTTCCATGTGCATTCTTCTATTCCCCCATCACTCTCTCTCTCTCTCCCTCTCTCTCTCTTGTTTTTCTTCACCTTCTTTTTTCTGCTACTATACTACTACTAATACTATTATTATTACTACTTCTTCTTCATATTCTTCTTCTTCATCTTCTTGTTCTACTACTATTACATATGCTGATACTACCACTACTTATATTACTGTTTACCTTTCTTCTACTTCTTATTATCATAATTACTCTCCTCCCCCTTTTTATTATGCAACTGGTAAGCTTCGCCCCATTCATTAACCCCTATGCTGCCACATCCTCGTCCACTCGTTCATGAAGAAAAGTACGCTGATGCCCATTAAGTTGATATACATTTTTGATTACCCCTTTTCATGAAGAGATTATAACAATTTTAATTTTATTCTTGATAGATACAGTTTATTATCTTCTCAGATCTGCATTGATCAATCTAAAGACTCTAAAAATATATATCTAAAAAAACTTCGAAAAACAATCATATTGTCCAAATCGTTGCGTGAAAAAGGGTAAACAAATTATTTTAATTATATGGAGCATACTTTGTGAGGAACTTAGATGGTAACATCTGAACCTCATTATCATTATAGCAAAAGGGAAGAAAGAAAGAAAACTGCGTGAGGTTAAGATTGGCAGAAACTTTACCCTAAATTTTGGTCGTGAGTAAAAACTTTTTTTATCCATTATAAATCATCATCACCTTCCTCTAAACGTTTGAACTCCAAGGGCAGTATTCTACTAATATCAAACCCGACCCTGGGCTTAAGATTTTGTTCGAAATCGGGTTTAACAAAATCTGTGGTACAAGTTTTCCTTTGTTGACCCACAGTCAAACTTCTGGATGTTTTAGTTCTTTTCCTTGAAAATTAGATAACGAACTTACATTATCAGTTATGAAAGAAGTTGCAATGGTTGATGATACAAAGTATTTAATGTATTTTTACGCTCCTTTCCTTTCGCATTATAAGGATCACCCGACCTGTGCTTCCGGCATATTTCGTCAAATTTAAGGGTTACTATGGTTACGGTTATAGTCGAAAGTTTGTTTTAAGTTAAGGTATAGTGTTTGGTCCAAGGCTGAAACTCAGATTTTGTTTCGAGCGGGAAATTGCCTGCAGAGTAATAGTCACTGGAGCATGTGTCGTAAAACGCTTTATTAAAAATCCTGTCCCCTTGATGTAATCGTAGAATTTAATAGCCGTATTAAAGGTCTGCATTGCTTATTTGAATAAGGGTGTGATGCTGTCTTCTTTAAATATCATATGCAGCCCGAATGTCATGCGATCAGTGGGTGTGTTGCCAATTTGCGGGTTTTGACGGATGACGGTCATGCGGCTAGACTGACAGACACCCACACAGAAGGGTAATCGATAAAAGACAAAGAGGCACCGCATATTAAAGGGGGCGGGGAACATACCAAGTTATGAATGCGAGACGGAAATTAATTTTTGAGAGTAAAAAATAATACTTTTTCAAAAACTATAGTACTCTTTTACAAATATTACAACTTCACCATTGATTTATTTCTTTACTATTATTAATTCATTCATACATTTAGTTATTTGTATATTTTGTCATTTATTTATTTATTTATTCAATTATTTATCAACTTAACTATTTCTTGATTTATCTATAAATGTGTTTATCCCTGTATTTGTTTATCTATCTATTTATTTTGTATCACTCGAAAAAGAAAAGCTTTCAACTACTATTAAACCGTTACTGCCATTCATATAGTTATCGACGTCCTCACTTTCAAGAAAAAACTACTAAAGATGTTATTGCCAATCGAGATTAAAAAACGATGTAAATAATCTAGGATCTATTTTCGAAGATCTTTTTGATTAAATCTTGGTGAATAGTTTGCTCTGCTTGCTTTAATCCTTTGACAGTGAATACATCGTTACACTTACTATTCAATTTAAAGGTCATGAAGTGCACTGCGGGGTATTTCACAACGATCATACGTTGAACTTAACTCTAAGTTGAACTTAAACATTATGGAGAGCCATTTGGAGCCCTTAAATAAAATTATTTAAAAGCAAAATTTCAAATGTTCTAGACTTTACATGAATTCCACATCAAGAACATGAAATCTCCCATGATAACAGAAAATATGAATGATTTTAATCAATATTTTATGCCTTTTAAATTAATTTTACAAAATATTTTCAAAGATCTTAACGGCTTTCTATAATTTGTTAGTCCAACTTAGAGATAAGATCAACTTAGGATCTTTGTAAAACACCCACTGGTCTGTGTAATCAAAGATGGTCGCATCGGCGGGGAGGGGAGCACTTTGATTTGAAAAATATATTCACATCTACCCAAGATTCTAATGACTCTGGGGGCCCGTTTCATAAAACTTGTTATCTATAACAACTGCTAAATTTCTATGACAAATGTGCTCTCAGCCAATCAGATGCCATGATTTCAGTAGCTTATAACAGTAGCTTGTAACTTGTTATTGATATTAAGTTTTATGAAACAGGGCCCCGGTCCGAATAACTATGTTTGCTAATTATTTAATCATAAAATGATCGGTAAGGCTTTGACCCCCTTTTAATTCCCAATGTATGCCACATAACATACGGGACAGGAAGTGCCACGTGCCTTTTTTGTTGTACAGTTGTGGCCCGTCTAAATTTGAGAACCCCCATTGTTATAAATTAAATGTAAACCGTATTATTTTCTTCCTGGAAACTGTGCCCTCCTTTTTTTAAAGAATCTTTAAGGACACCCAATTTAGACTCCCTATCAAATCTGTCACAGGTTAGGGTTTCAGAAATACAGACACCATTGTATAATGCTGATGTTACGAGCCCGAACTGTAATTGTTATTATTATCAAATCATATACGGTTACATTTTTTGAGTCACTCAATCGTCACATATCATGGGTGGGTTCTTATATCAGGACGCGAAAGGCTAAACATGATTGAATTTTTGCAAATGTACTGAAATATGAAATCAATGAATGCCAGATTGTAAGACAAAAGGGGGTGGCTGTGTCCCACTACCCCCCCCCCCCCCCTGCCCCATCCGGCACTGGGTTCGGCTAGTGTGTGATGAGATCCCTGCATCCAACGGCCGTCAGTAAGTCAGAAGAGCAGACAAACAAATATAATGTCAAACGAGTTTCGCAAATGTAACCGTGAGGCCTAATTACCCGGCAAGCCAGGCAGCCCGAGACAGCTGTGTAATCTACCATGCTTTACACATACCTTGATTTGGTATATAACCTCTGACCTTTCATCAGTCTGTCGTCAAGCGATGGGATTTGCAGTGGATTTGTGTTGGTGTTGAATTCCAGAGAGCTGAATATGACTGTACAGTACTTCAAACGTGATCTGATCTGTTTGAACAATTCTGATATTGTTTTGGAATATTCTTGGGTTGGTCTTTTCAGGAAATCATGAGGATTTTGTTTAAAGAAAAGAAGTAGGCCACGATGTGAAAAACACTGTTGCATATTGATTTTGAATGTTTTTAAAAGCTATTTTCATTTAAAAAAAAAGGTTGACAATATGATTTCTTAATGACAGATAACGTTTATAATCTTCTCAAAGCTCAATTGATCAATCTTAAGAGAGATTTATAAAGCATGCTACTTGAAGTTCCGAGAACATATAAACTTTATATATCTAGACTAAATATTTTTCATAATCAATTCATGAAGAAGAGGTAAATGAAAATTAGTCAAAATATATGTGCAACAGTGTGGTAAGAGTAGTTGTTTCATGTGTGGCAAAAGTTTTATTTTTTAACTGCGAATTAATTTCACAATTTAATTAACTTGCTGAAGAATATAGAGGCCGGTAGAGGCCAGAAGACGGGTCATAAATCTATGTCGATTTCTTCAAATATTTTATACTAAATTGGTCCTGACTCCATTCCATCACAAGATTGAAAATCCAGACTACATTCCACGA